TCAAGCTCACCCCCAAATGCTCCCAGGGACTCTTGCGTGCCCCTACCCCTCGAAAGGGGTCGACAAAAGCATGGTGAATCCTTGGATTCCCTTAATGGAATATCTTTGCGCATTGGAGGGGACAGGTGCTCCAACCCCCCCTCCAGACCACCTTGAACCAATGCCTTAAATTATTTTGAGTCCTGGGAGAGCTGCCATCAACTCAATCCAAGCCCTCTTGCATGCAGGAATGCAAACTTATGCTGGAGGAAGACAGCAAACATTCTCGCCCAGCTGTACCACCAGCACTGCGGGAGGACCTGCACAGGTCACACTCGACCACACCAAAGGAAGGATCTCCTCCCAAAGCATTCCCATCTGGACATCCAGTATATGTTCACATGGGCAGGAAGACTGAGATGGCGCCCCAGTCCAAACTCGTCAACCTGCTTGCCAGCCTAGTGTACAATGCTGTGGCCCAAATGTGCACAGCTGCTCCTATGAAAAAAGGAAATAACAGACAAGCATCAGCACAGACATCATTGTGACACTTCCTGATATAACCCTTGTCAGCGTCAGACTTCCAATGACCCGTATTCACAATCCTGTCTACTGACAGGCCCCCAGTGTGCAGCCTTTGCAGCAGCACCCAATCGTAAGGAATGAGGCGTGTTCAGCGGTAAGCAAGCCGCAGGCCGTAATAACTGGTGCACGACGTAAGCACATTGATGCCTGGCTAACGGGAACCCATTTTCATGCACTAGGAGCGGGCCAGCCCTCAGGGAATGAAAAGCCAAATATTCTGTTATCCATAACCGGGCAAGGGCCCTCCTCACCTGTGGCGGGAAGCCTGATTGTGGCACTCCTGCCCACTAAGTCTGTTTTAGAGTTCCCAACTCTAATGACAAGCTCCAAAGGATAAGGAAAAGTCCTGAAGCAATAAGCCTCCAGACTCTCAGCCCCATGCTGGCTCCAACAACCATTTTCCCAAGCCTCAGTGCGAAAATGCAATGGACTACTGAAAGGAGTCTCGCCTTGATCTTTAACCAGCAGACAAGTTTTAACTTGTTGCAGATACTGCATAAGTAAAAATTGACCGGCTTCCTGCCCACTGTCCTATGAGGTTGGAGCCTATTCCAACCTTCCAAGGCCATGCGCACTACAAACTTTATACAAGGGTCTCTGAAAAATAAAGCTTCAGTGTAACAGACATTGCAGCGGACTGAATTCTGATAGTTATAACGCACGCCCAATCTGCAGCAGGTGGACCAAATACTGCGGATCTGCTCAGAGGATGGGGGCCAGTTCATCTGAATGGCCAAGGACTGCCAGCTTAAGGCTAAGAAATCCATCCAGGCCTTCTCATAAGAGCTAAAAGCAGAAGGGGAAATGGAAGCTGCTGCTCTCTGTAATTACTAATTGTTGTCAAAATGCCACAGGTGGTCTGGAAAAGTCTGGCAATAGCTGAGTCTGGAGCCCAGGATCTGAAGCACTTCATCTGAAAATGGGATAGTGTCAGCGACATCATTAGAGGATCCTGTAATTTGGAGAGTAGAAAGCACAATATTAAACCTTAAGCGGCGCAGCTCGAAAGCATGAACGGAGGGGCGGAGACTGTGCTAGAGCGTGAGGACTGTTTTGCTAAGACGCTCACCACTACCTGGTTATCAGACCAAAAGCAGATCCAATGGTCACTGAACTCCTCGGGCCACATGTGAACTGCTACTACAATGGGGAAAACTCAAGAAAAGTTATGTCACATGATTGCCTCACCACACCGGGCTTGAGGCCATAGCTTTGCACACCAGCATCCCTTGAAATAAAAACCAAAGGGCAAAGATCCAGCAGCACCAGCATGAACCTGAAAATCCCTGTGCGGGTTCAAGGTATCCTGCCATGGCGAACTCCAGAGAAGCGGACACGGAGCAATGGATCCAAACTACAAGAAAGAAGATTCCACCTAAACATTAGAAAGAACTTCCTGACAGTAAGAGCTGTTCGACAGTGGAATTTGCTGCCAAGGAGTGTGGTGGAGTCTCCTTCTTTGGAGGTCTTTAAGCAGAGGCTTGACAACATATGTCAGGAGTGCTCTGATGGTGTTTCCTGCTTGGCAGGGGGTTGGACTCGATGGCCCTTGTGGTCTCTTCCAACTCTGTGATTCTATGATTCTATGATTCTACTATTGCATACATTCAGGAATTGCTACCATCGCCTGATATCTGCCTTCACCACACTTGGTAGGCGTACACAAAGGTAAGGGGACCTCAGGCCGCAGGCAGCCTGGCCTAGTGGGAAGATTAATTAAGAGACCCAGCAAGATCGGATCTGATGAAGCATCACTTGCTACAGAGGAAGTATTACAAAATAACTTCCTTCAAGGCAGACAGCTTCTCCATAGGCAAGTGGTATGTTTTAGCAACGATATCCAACTGGATCCCTAAATAAAATGGGAATATGGGCAAATTTGCTTGCCAGCTTCCAGCCCCCGCTTGGGCAGGGGGCATCTTGTGCTGCCATCATGATATGTAAATTTACAGGGCCGAGGCTGGCCAGAACCCTTAAAGAAGTCCCGACAAAGCTGCCGCCGAGCCAGCTTCCTTTTCAGACACACACTCTGTGCAATGCAAAAACACACTCCATGCAATGCAACTACACACTCCGTGCAATGCAACTACACACTCCGTGCAATGCAACTACACACTCCGTGCAATGCACACACAAACCCTCTGTGCAATGCAACTACACACTCCGTTCAATGCAACTACACACTCCGTGCAATGCACACACAAACCCTCCGTGCAATGCAACTACACACTCCGTTCAATGCAAAACACACTCCATACAATGCAACTACACTCCATGCAATGCAACTACACTCCATGCAATGCAACTACACCCTCCGTGCAATGCAACTACACACTCCATGCAATGCAACTACACCCTCCGTTCAATGCACACACACTCCGTGCAATGCACAAAACACACTCTGTGCAATGCAACTACACCCTCCATGCAATGCATACACACACACTCCGTGCAATGCAACCACACCCTCCGTGCAATGCAACAACACACTCCGTACAATGCAACAACACACTCCGTGCAATGCAACTACACCCTCCGTGCAATGCACACACACCCTCCATGCAATGCACAAACGCTCCGTGCAATGCAACTGCAAATCTCTCATGCAATGCAATGCATTTGCAGCCCGTGCAGCGCCGTGCCCTGCAACACACAAACTGCAATGCAGGCACGCAAAGGTGCTTTCTCCCGCTGCATATTGCAAACGTGGCGCCCGTTACATCCCTCGCAGTGAGGTAACCACCGAAAGGACTTAAGTGTCCAGGTAGAGCAATGGGGAGCATGCAGCTGTCCCATACAGGGACCAATCCTGCAACCCAGGCATTACCAGCACTATGCGCTGACCCAGTGAAACCAATGCTTCATGGACCACATGGGGACACTATTCAGGCCGGAAACGCTTCCAGGCCATTGAATTCTAGGGCAAAGCCCTAGGATCACCTGCTAGGCCAGGCATAAATGTTTCCAGTGAAATAGCAGAGTTGAGGTAGCCCACAGCTTCTCCAGGTACCCCTGCTTGCCCTTTTAGAGGGAAGCACCCTTTCAAGAAACCCAAAGTTCTTTTATCACAAATGGGCCTAACTACCCAGCAACAGAATAGCCCAAAAGGAGCAGTTTGCAATATTAAAGGAACTCAAATTAGTGCTCCCACCCAAGGCTAGCTTAAAATTTGGCCAACAGCACTGCACACACTCAAAATAAAGCCAACCTTCGGGGATACTATAAACGAAAGTGATTCCAGCTAAGCTGGGAACAGCCCTGATTAGCCCCACAATTTCAACAAGAGAAATGGGGCAAACCTTTTTGCGAAAGAAAGCCCCTAATGGGGGCTCTCTCCGTATTGGGAAAGGCAAGCCACAGTTACAGGGAGAATCTTCCCACAGGGCAGGGTAAGGGGTGGGGTGGGAAATCAAACAGGAAAAGGGGGGAATTAAATTATTTAAGGGACTAGAGAGGATTAAAAAGAAAGGGGAAATAAAGAAATAAAGAAATGTAACCAGACAATGAGAAGATTGTCCAAGCACTCCATGTGATCCGGTGCAAAATGGCCAAGAGGACGTCCAACGTCTGGCCCCTGTATTTAAAGACTCTGACCCCTCCTCCAAATTGGCAACAATCAAAACTCCCCAGCAACCCAATTTTAACCACTTAAAGGCTTGGGTTCCTCACAAAATCCGCCCAGTAACGGCAGGGTGGCTTGTTCCCCCAACCGCAACACGTGCTCTCTGTTAGGGAGAACACGCT